CATCCATCCATCCATCCATCCATCCATCCATCCATCCAATCCAGGGTTGGTTAATACGGAGGCCCAGACATCCCTCTCCCCGGCCACTTGGGCCAGCTCCTTCAGGGGAATCCCAAGGCGCTCCCAGGCCAGCTGAGAAACATAGTCCCTCCAGCGTGTCCTGGGTCTCCCCCTGGGCCTCCTCCCGGTGGGACGTGCCTGGAACACCTCACCAGGGAGATGTCCAGGAGGCATCCTAATCAGATGCCCGAGCCACCTCAACTGGCTCCTCTCGATGTGGAGGAGCAGCTGCTCTACATCCGGGGGGGACTCAGAGTACCTATCTATCTCTAAGGGAGAGCCCAGACACCCTACGGAGAAAACTCATTTCAGCCGCTTGTATCCGGGATCTCATTCTTTCAGTCATGACCCAAAGCTCATGACCATAGATGAGGGGCTGAACATAGCATCAGGGTAATTTACAGCAGTGTTTCCCTACCTTTGTTTGACTTGTATACCCCTTTGGGCATTTTGTCTTTAAGGTTCTGAATAAATGCCTTACAGGTTAGACTAACATCATGTTTTTCACTTGTTTTGCTGCACCCTAAATGATTCAAGTATTAACATATTCATGCAGTTCTATTTTATTATACAAACAAGATACAAAAAAAAAACATATGATACCTAATGACTAGTATTTGCAGTATATCTAAACAGGGAGCAGGTGATATCACACTGATAGCCAAGACAAACAACAGATGCCTCTTTTTCACATTCTATTTTTTTGCAAAGAAGGAAAACATTAAATTGTTAGTTGGATAACCCCGATTATTTACATCAACACACAAATATCCAAGGCCTACTATGCAATTTTGCTAAACTTTTGCACAAATGCATTTTGCAACGTATCAAGGAAAATGAGATCGCAGTCAGCAATACATACACTGGGAATTAATGTTAGTAGGCAACGGTCATTCCAATCATCTAAAATTGCATTGATTGAATATCTGAAATATGTTTCTGATATAACCCTTTATGCATCCTAGGGCCCATTGTAGACTTGCCAACTTCTTGCAAACTAAGTCATTTCCATGGTTATTTCTGGCCTGCATGGGTATTAAGTTGGTTTCAATTACATCCTTCCCTTAAGGTGATCAACAGTTTCTCTGTCAACGAGAATGCATTTGTACTTGCCTTTTTTTTGCATGTTTGTTCCTTTCTTGCAGGTTCAGACAGAAATAAAGAAAACATGGACACGCTGGAACCTGGCCTTTGAGTGGGAGGGTCCAGTGGTCTGCGGCCGTTACCGTTACGGCTCTGTGGTTGTCGGTCTCAACAACAACAGCACAAGTAGTCAGTCTCACCTGGCCGGTGGTGGCATTTCCACACGCTCCACCACACTAGCTTCTAGTCGCACTTATCGATGCACAGGAGCTCCTTCGATCAACGTGCATGCCACCCTTCCTGGCTATGTGATGACAAACTCTGATCCTTCCATACCCGAAGAGCTTGAGGACAGTGGCCCCAAAAGAGTGGACGATATCTCATTGAAGGAAAACCTGCCTGTAATGAATACAAGCGTAGCAGCTGAAGATGAAGAGGAAACGCTGTAGCAGATAAAGATATAAACAGACAGTGAGCAACACCTCTGCAGACTGTTGCTCAAATGCCGTCTTGTGTAATATTTTGCTAAGCAGGGTAGCTTACATAAATCCCAACTAAAATTGAAGAACACTGAAAGTCCCAAATGGATAAGTGAATGTTTTATATAAAAAAAGAAAAAAAGTCATGCATCTGTTTATGCAAAACCTTTCCTATGGCTTAAAGGAGGGGGGGAAGCTTCTTTTTTATTCCAGTGACACCCTAAATAAGACGCCATAAGGAAATTTATACTAGGATTCCAAAAGATGTTTGGATCCCAGCTGTGACCCAGATGCAGCTGTTCAAACCAAGTGTATGTATTTTAAACATATTTGACCTTGTTAATATTAAAATGTAAAAGCTTACTCTGCACTGGTTTTAAGGGCTTTATGGGCTGCTATGGACAGATGGTGTATGAAGACATGAAGAAGGATATCACTCTCTGTTATGCTGCCACAGTAAAAATAATACAACTGTGAGGCTTAGAGAGCTGTATTTTCCATTTGTCCAAATAATTCTGGAGGCCACTCACTAAATGTGTCCTTTAAAAAAGAAACATAGAAAATGGTGAGATACAGCATACAAGTACTGAATCTGGAAAAGAAAATATAAGGCTGGTAATCTCCTTTTTCTTGCTGTTCACTTGTTTGAACCTTGAATTAAGAGCACATCCAAGACTAATGTGAGGCTCAAAAAGCAGCCCTCAGATTATTGTTTACATAAAAAAAGTGTTTTTGGGATGGCAGCAACAGCAGAAGTAGCATGACAGATGTAAAAATAAGCTATTGTCTTGAAGGTTATATCGATTAAACACTGTTTTCATGAAGAATTGTTTCTGATCTTGAAACTCTGAATATTTTTGTCAGTGCAGTTTTCTATCATGTAAATGAAGCATTGATCAATTAGTTTTTTTTTTTGTGTGTTTTCTTTTTATTTTAAAGTGAGAAAATATTTTGGAATTCTTTTTACATTCAGACAACTGACCCCAGGTCTGGTAGTTTATGAGGCATTAGTTCTTAGTTCAGTTTGAAGTAAGTCCTACATGCTGTATTACATGTTTGAAAAAAATTTAGAAAAGAAATTGGTCATGCTAAAACGGCAGTGATCCAGAACCTGCAATTTTTGAAAGAAGGTCCGGATCAGTTTTACTTTCAAATTCATGCATCGGTCAATGCTGTAATATTTACAGCAATTTTTTAGAAGTGGCCCAAATGTGGTGCATCAGTGCATGGCAAGTAACATGCAATGCTCATGTAACTGAAATTTGTATATTAATTTGAAGCAGCCTGGATAAATACTGTTCATTTATTTATTTTTTGGGTTTTTTTTTTCTATGTGCCATTAAAATGAAGTGTGAACATGTGTGACAGCAGTTGGAATCAATGTGATACTATCTTATGTTTCTTCAGGTATTTCGAAGAAATGTCTCAGACCAAAGACAAAAAATAATTATCCCCTCTCATAGTGTAGTGAGTTTAAAAAGCAAGGTCAGTTATAGTATAAAGAAATATATTTTCCTTTATCTGTTTAATATTTTTTATTCATTTTCAAAAAGGCCAGAATAATAGTTAAGCTCCTTTCAAAAAGATAAATTATTATTAGTACATGTCAAACAAGACCAGATCAAAAGAAGAGCGGTGCTGTTCTTGTAAGAATATCAAGGCTGTAGAAGAGAAGAATATCAACATTAGAAGGATCAAATCAAAGTGAATAATGCTCTAGATATGTTAAGAACTACAAATAAACTTTTGGTTAAATTTAAAATTCTTACAAACTTAATTTGTGTAGTGTCAGTTCAGACCGAATGCTGCATCCTGTGTAATTTCCTTCTCCCCCGCAGGGAGTTGACCGCTGGATGTTTCAGATGGCTTCATCATGCTCACCATGGAGGAGCTTGAGCTTCTAAATGCTTGCTAATTTTAATTCAATATTGCAGACAGGAGTTTTAATACAGGGGTTTTATCAAGTGAATCACAAATCTTGTTTTGAGCTTTGTAGAGTTTGCTACCAAAACCTGCTCAGATAGTGACGTTTGAATGACTCTCAAAATCCATGGTACTTCTTTTTATTTGTCTGGGCAGAGAAGATAAGTACTGGGGAGAGGCAGAAGGTGGAGCTAGGATGACGAATGATTCAACGGTCCCTAAAATAACTTCTTTAAAAGATCACCTTAAAACGTATTGAGAGCATTCCTTATTTCATAATTTTCCAGCATTATTTTATTTGTTTTCTATTTTGATTGAAAAAAGGTTTATCTCCGCTGCTCTCCATAACATGAGGCCGCCCGTTTCTGAATATGTGTACTTGTGCATTCTCATGTGCTCTTGAAATGCGTTATCCTTAGCACTGTTGCACTTCACAAGAACACAAGGTCGAGATGTTGTTCTCTCCACTCCCTCTCTTCTGTGCACCAGGGCAGACTTGTCTGTTCTCAAGATTGACAGCTGTCCCAGCATGTACCGCATCAGCGGCAGCTTCCAGAGAAGCACTCACAGAGCTCAGAGCATTAGGTTAAAGACAATAAGAAGAAGTGAAATGCAATTCAAGACTAGTTTTGAATCTGGTGATGTCACAAATACGCTTCTGTTCCAATTTGCCCAGATTTATTTTGCATGCTCCAGTTCTCCCCAGATCCATACTTCCTTGTGTTCCTGTCAAGAACATACCTGGCGAGGACACAAGTCCATGCTCACATTCCTTTGAAAGTAAAAATGACCCAAGTCACAACCACAACCAGTCCCTGATTGATTTTGTGGCACAATTTCACAGTACAGTTTAGATTTTGAGCGTGACGGCTCTGTTCTCACCATGCCGATTCACTGCTCTTGCCCGCTACAATTTCATGGGAATAAAATGTAAATCCACAGCTTTTGCCGCAGACGACACTTTTGGTGTGAATACACAATTAGTTACAATCTTATTTCTTTAAAGTTCAAATAGAAAACAACATACCACGTATAGTTTGTAGTTTATAGTTTCCCATTTGATAGTATGTACAAAATTAAATACATCATAAGTGAGTAAATGTCCAGCTTTGCTAACGAGTGATTCATATGCAATGTGGACACATGCTGCATAGAGTTACTGTAACACTAACCACCTGTCATGGCTCAAGAAGTGGGAGGGGCTACCAGCAAAACTTACTATTCATATTGGAGAGTAAAGGTGTATTCCATTAACTTCAGAACTTCAACGAAAAAAAAATTGAATTGACTAAACCTCAGAGGTAAATGCGTTACTGTTGTGGTTCTTCCCATTTGTTGTGACTCTGAGTTTTCAGTTATCAGTTGTTTTGTTTTTATTTTCCATCATATTCAAGCGTTCTTTAGTTACTCTCTGTTGCCCCCTTGTGATTGTTTTCTTTCCCCTTGGATTCCCTCTTGCCAGTTCAACCCACACCTGCTCCTTATTCAACTAATTAGTCCATCCTTTGTTCTGTTCTCCTTAAATACTCCACCTCTGCAGTCACTCAGTGCTGGTTCCTTGCTATTGCTGTACTTGTCTACTCAGTTCGTCTCTCCGTGGCTCCTCAGGCTCGTTTTCCCCTGATGTTTCCATGGTTTTTGGTTTGTTTAACATTTTAGTTGGATTTCTGGATTTGTACCTCTGTTTCCTGTGTTCTTCCATTAAATCTGTTAGAACTCATCTCTGCTTCACTCATCTCTGCATCTGGGTCCTCAAGCAACCTCACCACCCATTGCTGACAGTTACAGTTTCTTGTTGACCTTTGTATTCTCCGTGGCCTTTACAGCCACTGTTACAACCGTAAAACACTGTTCTACACAGTACATATGTACAACAATATTGTCTTAAAAACACAAGTTGTAACTGAACGACTGATGTATTGCTACAAAAATGATAAAGATCTTTTAGAAAAAGTCAGATTAGGAAGGTTTAATTACTGTTGATGGGAGAAGCATCTATCTTAAATGCAAAAGTCCAAAGACAGGTGGAATAGAGGTTCCTACTATGTGCCGCTATGCATTTATGTGTGGTGTGTAGTGGAGCTGTGGGTGTTTGTCCCAGAAATTTCCACAGCATAAGTAAACAGGGGAGTGGATTTTGATATGCGGTTGCTGCTCTGACAAGCTCAAAGAAGACTGCCATCTTCCAGCAATCTTCTTTGAGTTCCTTCAGTATCTGTTCTCTACACTTTGGAGCTCCTACCATGGGTAAAGCTCACTTTTGATTAAATTTTTTTAATGTGTGTGGCATTGTTTAAAAGGTAAGGTTAAGATTATTGATTCCAAAAAGAAATAAAAAAAAAAACAAAAAAACAAAAACCCTTTTGACTTTGTTTTCAAAGTTTGAAGACGTTTCAGTTCCCATCCAGGAAGCTTTCTCAGTTCGAGGATTGTTGATGTTATTTGGCATTTGTTTGTTTATTTTCTCATGTGCTAACCAAGTGATGCAATGTGTGAATTAAGTGTTGGACATGTGAAAATTTCTCAGTTTTAATATTGATATGGAATTAAAAACAGATGTTAGGCAATCTTCAAATAATTTAAAGACGTAATCACACAAATCAGTTGACTTTGAAATTGTCTGTAAAAAGGAGTAAGTAAAACTGAGATTTACAAATACATAATGGAGGCTTTTTTGTTCATAACTTTAAGACTAATTGCATGTGTTAAGGTTTTTTTTTTTTTTTGTACTTTTGATTTAATAATGTTCTTGATTTTATTTTAACCCTTTTTTCCTCAAAAACTGTATTCAGGTCGTGACAGTTCTGGCAATCCTTTCTATGCACACTGATCTTTAGTTCTTTCTACATTATATGTTTCAAAAAGAGATATATAAAACCTGTCAGTAGCATAGTATGTGCAGAGCCATCATTGCTCTAGAAATTTTCTGTATAAAATTGTAAAAAGCCTCAACATTGGTTTTCTTTAGCTGTAATGTGAGTAAACATACAGAACATTGTACCCAATTCCATTACTTATTCTTTTATGGTAATAACAAATATTTTCATAGCGTATCTATGAATATAAATGCAGTTGATACTGATTTTGAATATCAACAGCTTTCTTTTGATTATCTTGACTTTTTGTGCTGTTTTGTATATCTTTTTCTTCAGGTGTTTATTCCATTCTAAGTCATTCCTGTTTTAAATCATGACCTATTTGTGGGCTATGTTATTTCATAGTGTGGAGTTATTCGGTTTTTGCCAACATCTGGTGTCAAATTTCAAGTAGAAAAACTTAAAATTAAGAAAAAGTGTGTTTAAAAAGCATTTTTCATGCTGTAATTATCTTCACTTAACTTTTAACTTTATTATTGCAAAATAGTAGCAACCATGATGAGGGTTTGACCAGCAAATTATATATTTTATGGATAAAATGTCTCATTCCAACCACTTTTTAGGGTTAAAATGGAAGTCTGGATCAAAAGTAAAGTGTAAGTAAATGTTAAACATAAAATATCTTAGGTTTGTGTCATCTTCCATCAAATACAAGTCTTTAAATTTACTTTTA